GGGTGGAAGCCCCCCAAGTCCCTGCCTCAGAACACTGTTTTGCAGCTCCTGCTACAAAAGATCTGTGGGTTCTTCGGTGTATGTGGAGAATTCTGTCTGATACTTGCTGCTGCTCATGGAATACACCTCTACCTTGATATAACGTGACCCAATATAATACGAATTTGGATATAACGCGGTAAAACAGTGCTCCGGGGCGGCGGGGCTGCACGCTCCGGTGGATCAAAGCAAGTTCGATATAACGTGGTTTCACCTATAACGCGGTAAGATTTTTTGGCTCCCAAGGACAGCGTTATATCGAGGTAGAGGTGTAATTTGTGTCTCTCTAGAATGTCCATGAATTAAGTTAATTTTCACATGCATTCAAAGTCCCCCACAAAGATGTTTTGCCCATTAAAATGCTATATTTTTGGTGAATTGAGAAGAACTGTCTGCGGCTAAGTACCGGTGTACAAATTGGATGTCATTGTACTTAAAAAAAATTGCTTAAAAAAAATAGCAATTGTTTCCTATTATGCCTGCCAGACAAATGTAAAATGGCCAACATAAAAATGAATATAAATTTCTGCATTGGCATAAAAGTGTTTTTACATTATTTATTATTTGTATTAGCACCCCAAATTCAGGGGAGGGTTGTACTAGACCCTGTACAGACACAGGGCAAAAGACAGTAACTTCCCTAAAGGGCTTATAGTCTAAGCAGACACAGAGCTGGAGAGTTATCTCCATTTTACGGTTGGGGAACTGAAGCACCATGATTAAGTGACTTGCTCAAGGTCTCAAATAGAATCTGGGATTGAGCCCAGATCTCCTGAATCCCAATCCAATGCCGTAGTCACAAGAGTCTTGCCAACTCTCATGATTTTGTCATGAGTCTCGTGATAATTATTGTTTTCTTTAAAGCTCCAACTCCTGGAGTCAAGTGGTTATGTGATGATTTGAGCCTGGTAAGTTTCTGGCCCTCCTGGCTATGGAGAAAGCTTCAAAATATGACCCCAGAGCACTCTAAAGATCAAAAAGCAGAAGGCAAATAATAGGAACACACACACACACACACACACACACACACACAATCATGATTTTTAAAGCCAATCTCATGATTTTTGGTGCGCTTGTCTCGTGATTTTTGAACACCTGAGCTTGGCAGTACTGCAAGGCTTTCCTTTTATGGTAATTTTTCAGAAGCAAGTACATTTACATTCTCATGATTGGAACAGAATGAAGCAACACATAAGAGTTATGACAGCTTTGCTGCACTCTCACTGAAAAAATCAATATCTTCATTTTACAGCAGTATCCGCCTAGTGAGAAAATCATTCATTCTTACAGCTGAGCATCATTCCTAAAACTAATAGAATATTGTAAACAGCTGCTTTTAAAGTGAGACCTGGAAATCATAAAGGGTCAGTAACTGCAGAACCAGACAGATTTGTCTATGCTTTGCGTTGTATAGAATGATTTAATGCATTGTTCAAAACCGGCAAAATCAAAGCATTCACTACTCAGAAAGACTGATGACCATGATAGAAGCCCATTTTCAGATACCTGAACAAATGAACTGGTGGGGGGAGGGGAAGAATCTCATGTAGCCATTAAGGGCATTGAATTCTTTCCCTGGACATCTGTAAACTTTGGATCAGGCCTGAAGAGTTACACATTTCCAAAAAGCCAAAGCCAGCACTTAGATTATTTATTCCCAAAACAGATTTCCAGTGAAAAAAGAAATGCAACTGATCAGCAGATAAATACTAAACCTTAATTATTATAGGATGGTGAGCAGCAGAATTGTAACTTGTGAAATTGAATGAATAGCAACTGTCCATCTTGAAAGAGGGTGGTGTAAGCGCCAAAGCAGTTCGGTTACTATGTGTTCTGCAGCACCACGAGTGGCTAAAACTCAAGAATTGGACTAACAGTCCATCCATGCCGCAGATAGTGCAGGCGTAAGGTGCAGGGCGAGAAGATGAATCCAGCACAGGACTCGCGCTTGAGGTCTGCTGCGCTTTTCTCTTCTTTCCTCTTTCTCAGCCAGCTCTCTTCAGCCTCTCTAGGTACATCCATTGGCCTGGAGCAGCGAAATGCGGCCAGTGGGAGCCGTGATTGGCCGGACCTGCGGACGCGGCAGGTAAACAAACCGGCCCGGCCCGCAAGCAGTGTCCCAAGTTTGGGAAACACTGATCTAGCGTAAACACCTTGGACACACAAAGTGACAACAAGCTCTATGTACGAAAGAGAAAGAAAGAATTTATCAGAAAAAATGCTGGTAATCTCTAGACAGGCACTGAGACAGAGAAAAAAACTAGCCTATATTCAAGCAAATATAATGAATATTATAGGCTTTAATAGCCTATAAATTACATATGCACATTGTTTGAAATAACTTGCTCACCATGTAATCAGAATTTTTATATACATGTATATCTTCCTTTACTTCTCTCAAAACGCTCTAGTTATCCTTTTTTCAGCACTCTCTAATACGGGGTGGCCAACCTGAGTCTGAGAAGGAGCCAGAATTTACGAATGTACATTGCCAAAGAGCCACAGCAATATGTCAGCAGCCCCCAATCAGCTCCCCCACCCCGCTCCCAGCACCTTCCACCCACCGATCAGCGCCTCCCCCTCCCTTCCTGCACCTCCCAATCAGCTGTTTCGTGACATGCAGGAGGCTCTGAGAGGGAGGGGGGAGGAGCAAGGGCACGGCAGGCTGAGGGGAGGGGCCAGGAAGGAGTGGAGTGGAGGCAGAGCCAGGAGTTGAGCAGTGAGCACCCCCTGGCACATTGGAAAGTTGGCACCTGTAGCTCCAGTCCCGGAGTTGGTGCTATACAAGGAGTTGCATATTAAGTTTTGAAGACCGAATGTGGCTCTGGAGCCGCAGGTTGGCCACCCCTGTTCTAATATTTACTGTGAAGGTTCCCGAAACTGATGGAGGGAAGCCAACACAAATGTATCCTCCTTAAAATCCACTTGACCCAATTCCATAAAACGATCACTTGCAAACTCAATCATGTGAAGCATGGATAGCGCATGAAGCAGAAAGCGGTGAGCACACTAAAATACACAATTGTACATATGTACAGATCAAAAGAAGAAAGAACACACTAATAATTAAGAAAAACAGGAGCGAAGGCACTATATGGCTGAGTGTGCTGGACTGTAAACAAAAAATGGTGGTCTTCCGGCTATTAGCAACTAAGGGGGACGCTTTAC